ACCTCTTTTCCTGTTTTGATGAAATCTGATGAAACAATTTTAAAAAATAATTGTTCTTGATTAATCTGAAACATAAGGTTAATGCAATTTGACACTGCTTTAACTGCCATGGCTAAATGCTATGGAATCCTGGGATGTGTAGTTTTGGAGATATTTAGCTGTCTCTGTCAGAGAGTTCTGGCGCCACATCAAACTACAAATCCCAGGATTCAATAGGATGGAGCCATGACAGTTAAAGTGGTGTCAAACTGCATTAATTCTTCAGTGTGGGAGCAGCCTTACTCTCTCCTCCAGAGCTATTTTCCCCCTCTCCAATAAAATGATGGGAATAAAGCATGCTAAATAAACAGTAAAATAAGGATAGTGGGCTGAGTGCATGTTTTTGATATGAAGATCACACAAGGGGGAATCATGCAGCCTTCTAGATATGGCGTTCCTCACCATTGGTGAGGTTGGGTAGGGCAGCTGAGAATGGCAGTCTAACAGCTGCATCCTTCCTGCACCTGATGTGTTCCTTCTGTCTTCCAATCAGACAATTTTATGGCAATTTGAAAGCAATGGGCACATGACAATATTTTGCTGCCCTTACTATTCCCACTCAGCTCTTAAACTCACTGGTTTTGCACCAGACTCCTATCTCATACAATAAAATGCCTTTCTTCACTCCTTGAAGGAAGGGTAGAGTTAAAAAAAAAAGGAATAAATATTAATAGTAACATATCACATTTCCTTATTTCATTATAGGTAAAAACCGACATATCTAATCTTATTTTTTTCCACACTTCTAAGACATTCAACCAAAACAGTGACATCTTAGCGTCTTCTACCAGATCTCCATGCATTTGAAGAAGTAGACTGAGGGGGGTTGCAGACTGCCAGAAATAGTGCAAATTGAGTCCACTTTTAGAGTTAGGGTTAGTGCTAGGGAATCATGGGAATTGTTTTTTCCCCCTGGAGACATTGAGACTTCTCTGTCAGAGAGCTCTGGTGCCACAATAAACTACAATTCTCATGATTCCCTAACCCTAAAAGCGGATTCAATTTACACTATTTCTGGCAGTCTGCAACCCCCGAGTCTAGAAAAGCTAATGCTATAACTTCTTTCTGCACAGTTAGTTTTAAAGGTGCTACAAGATCCCTTTGCGTACTGATATTCCAGACTAATATGATGATGTCTCTGAATTCCTCCACCAGATGTCACTGGAAAGTTACGGTATGAAATAGCAACAACATATGAGACATTGACACAGTAAGGATTAAGAGACTATGGGGAAGGGCATTGCTTGCTATGGTAACCTCTCTTTCTTACTTCCTTGGCTTCATAACCTAGGATCAAAGGTAATGCAGCAATGATGCTTGAGACACAATGTGGCACCGAGATGAATATGAATATGAATATATATATATATATATATATATATATATATATGTATTGGTTGTACAGGTTGAGTATCCCTTCTCTGGAATTCTGAAATCCAAAATACTCTAAAATCCTAAATTCTACACACAGGTGGCTGCGATAGTGACACCTCTGTATTCTGATGGTTCAATGTACACAAGCTTTGTTTCATGCACAAAACTATTAAAAATATTATGTATAAAATTACCTTCAGGCTATGTTATAAGGTGTATACAAAACATAAATGACTTTCATAGTTACACTTGTCAATCAATCAATCTTTATTTACAGTCAATAGACCCAGCAAGACATGCTATAACTTAAAACCATATAAAATAGAAAGGTTACATGTTAAGGATTTAGACCTGTGGCTCATCTCCAAGCTATCTCATTGTGGATATGCAAATATTCCAAAATCTGAAAAAAATCCAAAACACTTTAGGTCCCTAGCATTTCAAATAAGAGAGACTCAACCCAATTATGTTCTGCAAGAGACAGTTAATGGACGGATACGTCTACAGCTGCCTAATATTAGAGATGTGAAGAAATCTCACTGCATGATTCATTCGCAATGAAGGAGCCTAATAACAGATGGTTAACTTCCACAAGATTTCTCACCTCCAGTGTAAGAATGAGATAATAAGGACTTTTTTGGGTGACGTGGTAGTAGTAAAAGTTTCTGATTTTTGCTCAGATTGCCTCATTAAAATTGCTGTCCTTTTTCCATCTGCAAATCAAAGCACAAACATGCTTTGTCTTGGCTTCATATAATCATAAAGTTGGAAGGCCTTATAATCCAACATACCCCTAAGAAGAGGCCATAAAAACCTACAACAAAGAGAGTCCTCTCCTTCTGGGGTAGTCTATTTCACTGCTGAATAGATCTTACCATCAGGAGGTTCTTCCCAATGCCTAGGCTGCATGTCCTTGTTATTTGATCCCATTGTTTTGGCTCCTGCCCTCTGGAGCAGCAGAAAACAAATTGCTCCATTATCTACACGACACCCACAAAGATATTTAAAGATAGCTATAAAATCACCAAAGAGACAATATGATATATAGTGGTTTGAGCATTGGACTATGACTCTGGAGACCAAGGTTCAAAATCCTACTTAGCCATGGAAACTCACTGGATGACCTTGGGCAGGTCATACTTTCTCAGAGGAAGAGAAAGGCAAATTTGTTCTGAACAAATTTTGCCAAGAAAAAACCCTGATAGCTTTTCCTTAGGGGTTGCTAGAAGTCGGAAATGACTTGAAGGTACACAGCAATTATAAATAGGTCATATTTGTCAGATCTATCTATAGCTTTAAGCTTGGCTGAAAGTTTTTCATAAAGCTCAAGACCAAGTGGTTGGTCTCTTATATTTGTGTGGAGATTGTCTTAAAGGATAGCAAAGTGGGAGGCTTTCAGAACAGAGCAAAGGCACACTACAGATGGATTGATTCAAGCAAGCCTTGGGTTTGCAGGTCTTGTGGATGGGAAGGTGTTTTAGAGGTTTCTCATTCATAGGGTTGCCATAAGCTGAAGATGACCTGACATCAATCAACAACAACAGTGTGTTCCACTGTAGGAACATAATATCACCTCTCAGGTTTTGCTTTTCCAGGCTAAACAAACACAGCTTCCTCAAACACTTCCCAGAGAGCTGGGGTTATATCCATACTGCAAAAACAAAGCTGTTTGATACCACTTTAACTGTCATGATTCTACCTTACTGAATCCTGGGATTTGTAGTTTGGTGAGGCACCAGAGCTCTCTGACAGA